CCCCAAAACCCCAAAACCCCAAAACCCCAAAACCCCAAAACCCCTCAGTTTACATAAATTATTGAATTAAACTGTACATAGTAACATTCCTAAAAATGAGTTTAAAAGTTCCTTCTATAACAAGACGTAAGGTTGAGAGCAAGGTTAGTAAAGTTTCAAAATTTCCATCATTATGGCACCTCTTTCTCTACAAGGAAGTTGTAATAGACCACCTTTATATATCTAAACTATATGTTTGTTAGGATTTTGAGTTTATTAGTCAAACCTTGAGGTTTTGTTAGGTATGATATCCCAATAAATCTCCAAAGAGACTGAATAAAAAGTTAGAAATACTTCAAAAGATCAAAGGTAGGATTTTGGTGTTTGACTCAATTTTATAAAATCCTTAATCTAGAAACTAAACTCAAAGAAATAATCAGTTACAGCTCATCTATGAAACGACAAACTAATGAAACCATGCATCAGAAAGTGAAGAAGTATTTCAAGATGCTATGCCCTAACCGAGGAAATTTCAGCATCTCTCGGGCAATCCAGTAAGTTATCTTTTCATAAATTTCGCTTTGTGTTCTGGTTCAGACCACCTATAAAATCCCTTTTTCTAACTGAGAGAATTATATATGAAGATTATAAATTTTCATTCTGAACTTGTAGATCTCAAAGAGAAGCACTTGGCTCCTCAAGTAGGATAGAAAATAGCCAGAATGGTCAAAATAATACTCATGCTTCTTGGAAGAAGAATAATATGCTAAGAGTAGATAGAAGCTATTTCTCAAAGACGAGAAGGCTGTCCCAGCCTCATAATTCCTCGAACAGGAGCCTCCGCACAACTAAGAGCAATATTAAGACTATCCCTAAGATTGATCGGACGAGTATTACAAATACCATCTCAAGAGCTAGTAAGGCTGAGCCTCAGGGTAAGTTACCTGTGCCTTACTTCGAGTAATTTTCTCATGCTTTAGGCTTGTTTATGCATCCAGAGAAGTCGAAGAGAATGATCAGTATCTCCACTGGTATTTTAGAGTGATAATCTTGGTAGATAAGTCGCTTAATTCGACTTTTCAACAGTTCAGACAGGTCCCGAGCTCTAGTATGTACTCTTTTGGATCCTCTAATTTTTATAGCATGTAGAAAAATAATATTCAAGAAGAAGAGAAGTCAAGGAAAGATGCCAGAAATTCAGAAGATCTCTAAAATTTATCTTAAAAAGGACTCCGAACTAGATCAAAATGATAGTATGGCGATGGTTACTGGAGATAAGACTTCTCCAAATGGCACTCTGACCCCTACAGAGAGTACGACCTTAGTCTTATCTTCTAGTTGAGCCTATCCAAGAAGAGCAGCTTGGAGAGAGCATCATGACCAAAGTTCCTCAATTAAGAATTCTTAAGGAAAATCCCTTGAATCCTATCGAAAATGAAAAAAAGAAATAAGATCTTGGAGAAACTCTTCGCGGTTAACTATGATACTGGACAGAAGAGTGATATTGGCAGCTATAAGAATGGCTATCAGAGAGACAACCCTAAGCTCTCCTCTAAAATGGTAAGTGGCTACTCCTCGCACCTTTTATGTTATGAACTTGTCTTGACTTTCTTGTAGAGGAAACTTAACTCAACACATGTGAATGGATTCCATCAGCCTAATATCAACATCGAGGTATCTAATATTGGCCTTAACAGTAAGATTTTGTTTGAATTTCTAGGTATGGGAATGGAAAAATACAAGAGTATGGAGCCAAGCAGGAGATATAACAGCGTATCCCGGGCTCCTTTCCATACATCTACGAGTAGAGGTGGGTGCTTCATCCTCTAAGGTTTATATAGACCCTGAGATCTACCAAGAACGCAAGATACTTAATCCGAAATTAATCCTGAAGAAATCTAAGGTATGTGGAATCTTTATTTTTTAGAAAAGTGCACTTGCAATTAATGAAATTGGGATCCTGAAATTCCTTAATAAAAAATAACATAATTCAATTTTAACCAAAGAAGAGGGGTTTTGGGGTTTTGGGGTTTTGGGGTTTTGGGGTTTTGGGG